TTTATAAATTTCAGCTTTTCGCATTATTGCTAAATAATCTCTACGTCGAAAAATATTTAAAGAATTTCATAATAACAGAAAATTAAATAAAATTTTAAAAAATTTGGAGATGGTTATCGAGCAGAACCATTAAGTTTAATTAATGAATATAGAATTGGAAACCAAGTCTCTGCTAAACAATAAAAAAATTTTTTTAATCTTTTAAGTAAACAAACTTTATTATAATAATCATTTCATTATTAAGGATTAAAGGTTATTGTGAAATTATTAAATCAAATTAGTGGATGAGTAGGAAAAGAATTTCACTACTCGAAATACATTTAATGAAAGTTATGAAACTATAGAATATGTAATAATGTGTAATTTTTCTATCTTAGTTCTATTACGACCTTTTAAAAAACGCTAATAAACACAAATTTCGAGATTGAAATGCCGTTTGGACGAATAAAAATAAGAAAATTTAAGTTTAAAATTGCATATGAAAGTTAAATATAGTAGTTTTTCAATTTCTGATAACGTATATGAGCCTGCGTATTTGTTTCTGGCATGCGTTTTTATCAAATCATTTAAACTATAAGTATAGCGATCTTGAATTAAGATATTAAAAAGAAATCGAAAACAATATAAGACATTTTGTAGCGATACTGTTTCTATAAGAACAAATATTCTGAGTAATATTTCTATGATAACAAATTTAAAATATTTCAAATTTATTTTATAAATATTTCAAGACGAAAATAATCTCTTTTTTGACTATTTTCTATTTACGGATAATGAGAAACTTGAAACCAGCAATATTAAGATTATTTACTCGTTTGTCTGATTTTAATTATTGACTGCAAGTTCTAAAGGTATTTAACATTGGAAATTCTTGAAAATTATTTTAATATTTTAGGCTCAACGAAGATGCCGGCCAACTTTTAATCCCTTCCATTATCATTTTTCCCAGTGGTATTAAAACTTCAATTTTCAGCAAACAAATACGTTGTATTTGAGAAAACTTAAGATAACAACCATGATAGTAACGCATATTAATATATGTGCTTAATTTTTGTAAGAATAGTGGTGATGAAAATAATCTAAAAATTAAGTTTGTAAAAGAAAAAATAGTATATACTTACTACCACTTTAAATATGAAAATAAAATCTTCCGGAAGAGTTGGCAGGTACAGAAATTGGGCACGTCGAGAACAATTTAAGCATGATAAAGAAACGGATTGATGGAGTTAAAACTCGGAGCGCATGGAACTCCTTTCAAAGCACAGCTGGTGCCCACATTTATAAAACCTCCAGGGGTATAATTTAAGTTCAACCTTCTTCAGAAGAGTTGGAGTTACCAGGGGCAGCAAAAGGATACCCTCTGGGCGTCCACCAGTTCGTGAGAAACACTCAAGGAAAGAAAGAAATCTCGCTGAAAATGTTAGAAAAATCAAGGTAGCGCAACATCGCATTAGTAAATTTTCATTATCTTTTACTGTATAAATCTTTTTTAATTATGTTTTTAATTACTTAATTCATTTAACAGTACTTAGGAATCTATAAATATGTTACGTATGATTGTTGCAGAATAACCTGTACGCAATATATGTAAATAAAATATATTTTTAAAATTGAGCATTATCTATTAATTGCATTTATTATTCTAATATTGAAAGAGTATCAAGGTATCTTTGACATCCATAATAAATGAAGTATTTACGGATTTTTATACTATATATTAAGGAATTGAATCAATTTTTCACGCAGTTTAAAATCTCATCTCATTGCAAAAAAAGTAATTTAATGAATATTTATTTATTTCATTCATCATGGCTAATCGAGGAAGAGAAAAAGAATATCGAATTGAGATTTAGGTTAATGTAATTTCGTTCTCCCACCACATTTACGCGTTATCATTGCCAATTCCAACTGCAATCGCCTAGTTTCCAATCCGTGCTATGGTCTGCTTTTACGCTATCTGGACATGGACTTAACTGAAATTTTATTAATTCAGAAATATTATACTTGGCAATAAGGAGAAATACAATGAACTCTGTTGAAGATATGTCAAAAGCAGTTTGGGCTATATACTTTCATAAGCTTTATACTGATGATAAACCTCAGCATGCATTATGTCCATCGGATGGAAATACTTGGTGCTGCTACAATAAAAGTGTTACAACTGCTGAGATATATTAACGCAAAATATGTTTACCAGAGCCTATTCTATCTACAATGAAAAAGATCTTTCGAGATGATTCCTCAAAAGAACTGTTACAAAAATGTATGCATGGTCGAACTCAAAATCCAAATAAAAGCTTTAATAATTGTATCTGGGAAAGGATCTCAAAAAATACGTTCGTTGGTATTGAGACCTGAATAATTGGTGTTATGGATACTGTGATATGTTTTTACGATGGTGTTTTCAGTCGAATTCATGTAACGAGAGAGTTGGGAATATTATCCGGTGACAATATGTGTGATGGCTTAAAAAAATTGACAACACGAGGATTTGCAAATCCGAGTTATTGATGCAAAATTCAAACAAAAAAGCCCGCACTATAAATAAACAGCAGAAGAGAAATAGGGAAAAAATTGAAACATTATCTGAAGATAATTATGTACCCGGAAAGTTTTATCATGTAACTTCTTTTATTTCTTTACTTGTTTTTCAAAACTCTTTTTTTTTTAACATTTAGGTACGCTCGTACAAAATTGTACTTATTCAATTTTTTTGAAATTTTGCACACTTTTGTAAACACCTTGTATGCTTTTGTTCAACCAGTTAAAATTTAATTTTTTTTTTTATAATTTTACCTTAACCTTTATGTAAATTATGATAGCATTAAGTTTTTCAGTAAAGCTCAACTTGTTTTATCTATGTAAAATAAAATTATATTATAATATTAAAAAAATTATTTCACTTTATATTTCAAAGATATTAACATAAATTTATGCTTGTCTCATGTGCTTTTTTTCAAAGCGTACCAAAAATTTTTTTAGTATTTAGTAAAAACTGATACATAATACATTTTAAATTATTCATAAAAATTAAGCAGCTGAAATAAAATATGATTTTTNGAAAAATGTGTTATTTTCTAGTTTAAATTATATTTTGTGAAGAAGTTGCTAATGTGAGGCTTAAAGTAATCAATCGGGGAAGTTGGGAGGATTTATGTGTTGGATGTTTATTCGTGATTGGAGGTGAAAGTATTGGTCCTTTTTAATTAGTTGAAAACGCGCGACACGAGAAAGAAAAAAAAAACATGCACGGAACAGCAAAAAGTGCTTCAATCTAATATTCTCATTTCAAATATTTTCCCCTACAGAATTTTTCCTACACAGGTACCTTTTTTTCCGTACCTTTTTTTCCTAGAATCGTTTTAATGATGGTGTTTTCGGTCAAATTCATGTAATGAGAGAGTTAGGAATATTACCCGGTGAAAATATGCGTAATGGCTCAAGAAAAAATGACAACACGAGGATTTGCAAATGAGAGTTGTTGATGCAAAATTTATACAAAAAAGCCCGCAGAAGAGAAAAAGGGAAACACTTGAAACATTATCAGAAGATAATATGTACCTGGATATTTTTAGATTTAAATGTAAATATTTATCATGTAACTCTTTTTTTTATGTTAATTCTTTTGTTTCTTGCTTGTTTTTCAAAACTCACACTTATGTAAACACCTTGTTTGGTTTTATTAAACCAGTTAAAATTTAATTTTTTTTTCTTATAATTTTACCTTAACCTTTATGTAAATTATGATAGCATTTTTAAGTTTTTCAAAAATGCTAAACTCATTATATCTATGTAAAATAAAATTATATTATTAAAAAAAATTATTTTACTTTATATTTTAAACATATTAACATAAATTTATGCTTGTTTCATGTGCTTTTTCAAATGATTTTCTTTAAAGCGTACCAAAAAATTTGCTAATATTTAGTAAAAACTGATACATAATACATTTTAAATTAAACAACTTAACTGCTGAAATAAAATTTGACATTTATTAAATAACATTAAGATAAACTTTTTCAGAAAAAATATTGAAATGTGCAAATAGCATATTTTCTTAGTGTAAAAAAATCATATTTTTGCTCTCGAGAGCTTCTGTCTACCCTTAAGTGATGTAAAAAATTGAAAAATTGTATGCCTAACCGTAACTTTTTTATCATTTTTCAATTAAATTATAAAACATGAATATCTATTATTATTAAATTGCACAAAATTAAGCAAGTTTGATAATAGTTTTTATATATATATTGTAAAAAGTGAAATTAACAATTCTACCTAATTAAACTATTGGTATTATTTCCAGTCAACCCATATTTGATTCAAAATTTCAAATTTATAAACGAAAAAAAAGTTTTCATCATTCAGAGAAAGTAAATTTTCGTGTTTTGCAAGTTAAATATTTTCTGCAGAAATTTTTAATATTTAAAGAGAATCTCAATTCATTAAGAGTGTATCGCAGAACGTAAAAATCACTGTAGTAAATCAAAAGTTATTATTGTGTTCCGTTTTTAACTTTGCGCTCTGAACGTGTAAATTAGTCCGCATCCGACCCGATAGAGTAAAGTGCCTATTTTAAACCCTCAATAATTTCTCAACAAAATAATTAAATAAAAAAACTGCAACAGGAATTAGTTCCTAATTGCTTGAACTCATTAATTATATTTTGTTTTAAGATTTCTTTTATTTGAAAAGTACCGCAAAAAGTTACCTAACCTTACCGTTGCTATTTTATTCGTTTCTTCCCAAATATATTTTTTGTAAGTTTATTTATATAAATGGTCATACCTGATTAAAGTCAAGACTTGTCAGACTTGAATTAGAAGAAATATACATATTGACTATTATTTGCTATTTACGTATTTTTTGAAGCGAGTGAAGTTTTTAATCGGGTAAGATTTTACCGCTTCAGTTTTTTGGGATTATTTATTTAACATAGAAATGGTCATTAACTTTAAAAATAATTATTCCTCCTACAATTTTCTAGAAATCATAATTCTTACCTTAGCCATGCTAATACTGAACTACGTAAATTCTTCTTTACGAATAGAGTAGGGACACTTAACTTAAGCATGTTCTTTTAAGCTATTTCTTTAATAAAGCAAGGTGCGCATTTAAAACATGTCGTTTATTCTATAATGCCCACAAACTCAATCAGCACACATGGCGTTTATTTTCTGATCATAAAAATAATTCAATTTAATCTGAGTAACCAAAACTTACCTGATTGCTTTTAGATACATAAAATTTTTATTTACTTTTCAAAAAAGTTAAACTACTAGTGCAATCATAGATACAGAATTACCGATGAACAAACTCATTTTCTCCGTCTCGTCACTCCTGAAAAATCTCATTTTATAAAAGGTTTAATTTCATTTATTGACTTGGCTTAAAAATACGTCCTTATGTTTGAACATCATGTTATTTTATCTTAATTTTACTCTGATTTCACACTTTCCTTAACTTATTTTTTACAGAAGTATAAACATACAATGCAAGATATATTTCGGAAACCGGGAATCACGTGCTTCATAATGGTAACCATAAAAGTATTTAATAGTAAGTTCATACAGAGAAATGAAACATATATTAATCTAAACATACATAAAAAGCATTTTATAACATTTAAACAATTTAATTATAACAGGGTGTCGTTCAATATAAATTTACAATTCACTAAAGATTTTAATGTTAAAAGAAGTTCTTAATATTGTTAACTGACAATAAAATTCCTTTAATCTCAATTGAATTATTATCAAAAACTGCAGTCAAATGGACCCAGAGTCAGTTATTTGACCAAATTTAATCATTTGGCGATTAACTTAACGACCTCACCAAGTTAGGCACCAAAACATTAAATACACACAGGATAAAACACTTAATTCTGACTCCATTTAAAATGCAATATTTGACAATAACTGAACTAGAAAACTTATAAAATAATTTAAATAAATAAAATAACCATTCAAAATGCGCACTCTTAGCGGCGCACGACGACCTTTCCGAGCATATGTTGAATTGAATGAAGGATTTAGTGGCATACGGTCCAAATATGAACATGCTACGCGAAAGAAACGGCTTTAAAACATTTCAGCATTTAAAGTACATAAGTCAAATTTATGATAGTAAAATATATAGAGAAACTAGTCCGGATCCCACTTCAGTGACAACTTCTCTACAGTAGCTCCTGAATAAATTCCAAAAAACCATAAAATACTGATATTTCCTCTTTAAAGTTTATGAAAACTAACATGTAATCCCTCAAGGAATCTCTGGTGAGTCTTTTTCGGCCTCTGGAGAGGTTTATTTTCCATTAATGCACGTTTAAAATTCGATGTTCTATTGATTTAGGCTTAGAGTACCAGACCGCCATTTAATGCAAGCGCATTTTATCGATAACTTTGGCTTCTTCTAAAAGTACTTTTTCCAACTTATTTTTAATTTTAAACATTTCTTTGCAATGGGCCATGCGATTCTTCACTAAATTTATAATGTTATTAAATTTCGGCGGTCTGGTATAAAATTTTTATTTGTATCTTTCTAAACAATGACATGATCTCGGAACAGGTTTTCGCTATGTTAATGTTCGCCATTTTGTAAACGTTGACCGCTTTAATTAACTTCTTAATGTTAATATTTTTATTTAATTTTTTATTATGTACTTCTTTTAATTGTTTATGATTTAACGACTCATCTCTTATTCATCCTGTGGTTTTATATTAATTTTCAAACATACATCACTTTTCCTTTATAATTGGTGTTCTATTCTCCATAGCAATATCAAAACAAATCATATGATGTAATATTCAGTTAAATTTGTCAATTCAATCTCATCACCCGCGTGACCCAATAATTTATTAAATATTTATATTAAATCTTTAATATTTTTTTTTATTTGTAATCTTAAATAACTGTTATATTGTATCAATATCAAAGTAAATTTTTATATTTTCATTAAATACTTATTTTCTGTTTCACATACACTTGTTCAATGTCTTTTCAAGTTCATTTAAATAGGATAGGATTCATTTTATTGACCTCTTATTTGTTTAACATTAAAATCAATATTTACTTATGTCATCTTTTAATTTTTATAGTACATAGTTTAGTGCAATGTCATTTCCACATTCTACAAATATGTTGAGGTTGTAACTTTAATTATTTTGATTTCATATGCTCATTATTAAAATATCGTTTAAAGTTATTTGGGAGTTCCGTTTTATGCATTCAGGAAATGGGAGTTTAATCTAGATATTCATTTTTTGACGGTAACACTGGCAAATCAATGGAGCATCGGATCCTCTCTTAAATTACATTAATCACTTTTCATGCGTTCATAATGGGAACTCTTCTGGGGCTGGGGGGGGGGTCATCATTGCTGCCATATAAAAATCTAATTATTTTAAATAATGCATAGCTCCCCTTCTATTTTTTTAAATTCTTTTTTTATATATAACGTTTCTAAAAAATAACGGATAAACACCTAACAATTAAAAAAAAAAAGAATGGAAAGACATATATCTTCAGAACTAGGTTGGGGTTAACCCAACGTTACCACTAGGTCTCGAACCAGAAATGAAAGAATCTCCACATCGACTAGAGACAAACCATCAACAAAAATAACAAGGCTAACCAATAGTATAATTACGCCAAATAGAGAACAAATGGAAACAACCACACCTTTGAGAGCTAAGCTGTAAATCACCAGCACCATCTGATTATGAATTATCCCATATTGAAAAACTGTTCAACACTCTGGAAATCAACATAAACAACCAACATGGTCACGAAAATAAAATGTACAGTCTCCCATCAGCACAAAGCTTGCCACGAAGCTCTTCGACAGTTAAAACAAATTACGGACAACTCAAATGTTCAATCATTCTGCCGTCCGAATATCACCCTCAACTCTATAGACGACAGCTTGAAAGCCATATCAGACAAATTAGATTATATAAATCATGCCAATTCTGGTAACTGTGATAATGTTCAACCACAACTTCCTCCAAAGTCTATTATCATCCCAGCTACGGAAAATTGTCCAACTAATGTCATTCCGGAAAAAATTACTAAAACCAACTCGAAACTACATGTCAAGAAGATCTTCAAAAACAGCCATCTTGTGGAATTAAAATTCCATAATGATCATCAAAAAGACATGGCTCTCCAAACTATACACGTTGGTTTACCGTATGTTGAAACAGAAAGACGGTTACTCTCTCTGATAATCCTTAAAGCACCATTAGATTACAACGTAGACACAGAAGAACTGAGCGAAACTGAAGAAGACATTGCTAAACTTCCTAGTTTTTCCGTTCGTCTGCAACTGGCGATATGCCTTCAGCTTCCATGTGGTGTTGATCAGCTTTATGTTCCAAAGATTCTGAAAGATTGCAACCTGTGAAGAGTTAGTTTCGATGCATGTTTCAATGAATAAATTTCACTGCAAAGTTTCGATGAATAAATTTCACTATAATTTATACAATTGTTAACTGTACATAGTTTCGATTCAACACTAAAGATAAACTTTCCCAAGTTTCCTCGGAAATTATTAAAACTCTAGACTACATTTTTGCTGTACAGTAATTAAATTTTCCTTTCGTAGAAGTTATGTTAGTTATTACGTTTTGAGGGAAATAAAATTTCATAACACGAATGTTTTATTTGCAGATTTTATAATACAGAGCATCGCTTCGATATAAATTATAGACAGAAGTGATTTTTTGCACACGAGCAGGGTTGAAGTGTTGTACACATTAATGTATATAAAATATGATTCTATTAGTAAAATAATAGAGTCCTATCAGACTTAAGAACCTGAAGAAGTTGCGATGGTGTGTAGAAAATATACAAAGAATTCGATGGATTATTAATAATAATAAGATTCGATTCTTAGGTCAAGAATATTAACAGTAAAACTTTCAACAAAGAGTGCAACCAAATGTTCAATAAAAAATAAGTACCTTTTAAGCACTTGAAAAAGATTTTTAAAAATTTTTGCTTATTAAAAAATATCAAATTTTTTTCCTCTCCGTGTTGAAAGTTTATTATATTATTATATGTATTAAAATAGAAACACACTTTAAAAGATTTTCAAAATAATAAGTTTTAGACAAAGAACTCATTTCTTGATTTTATTAGCCACCATAAAACATTTTATGCACAATTTTAAACATATTCAATACTGAATTCCTCATTATATTTTTAAATTAATAATTATTTTATTCAATAGTATAAAAAATTAATTTCATTTCAAAATTAAAATTAGTTTACAAGATGAGTATTTGTAATTATGTTAAGTATTTTTTTAATGAAATATTTAATAAAATTATTCAATAATTCTGAAATAAAAAATATAAACAGTATTGTAGCTAAAAAAAATTTCCTGGAGTTAATTATTAATATATGGTCCCTATATTCATCATATTTAACAAATTTGAGATTATCGAATATTTAATTTAATTATTTTTAAGTCAAATGATAAAGAGATAAATTACAATCACATAAGATTTCTTACAGCATTTGCTGAATGCTAAAATAGTGAAAAACCTTTCAGTTCGTACTTTTTTTAAAATCTTCCCTCTAAAAATTGTTGAGTCTTTAATCATAAAATCAAATATAATAAAACTATAAAGAATAGCCTAAAATATTTTATACTATTAATGGGCATAGAAGGGTTATTCAGCTTTACTAGAAAATACTGAGCGTTATCATTCGGTGAAGAGGTTGTTCCGCTGCTTTTACTATGGTGTGCAGAACATAACACCATGCTATTTTCAGTCATAAAAAATATCAAACGCTTCCCCTACTAGCGGCACCACCCACCACGGAGTCTAACTGAGGGGATGCAAATAACTGATAGGTACTGAGACCAATCCGTTATTTGAACATCGGTGCTAACTAATAGATATACGTCCGCGAGACACTCCTGAAGCAGCCTGCACAGGAGAAAACCGGGATTAATTCTTAACGAGTTGCTCAGTTAGTGATCCCGGGACTCGACCCTAGCCAACAGATGACATTCGTGACTAGCTGATTGATGCACACAGGCCAATGTGCACCTCCCGTTTACCCGAAGCACGGGCCAAAGCAGTGTATTGGGTTACCAGGATGCACCTCAACTGCCAGGATCCCCTTTTCCAGGGACACGGATCTCCTAGCACGGCAAACACGCTGCTGGTCTCTTTTCATATGAGTTCGATACAACAGGGTGGTAATCGAACACAGACAAAAAGCCCTTATCAGTAAATTCGGCAACCACGACAAGGAGAAAAGGGAAGGGAGGATAGATCACTAGTGTGCCCTGGGTCGTTACTCCCTGTGTTTACCTAAAGAAGGTAAACCCCCTGAGGGGTTGAGTGCTTCTAAAACGTTCAATTACCTTCCTGCTGTTTCCTATTGAGCAAGCATTAGATTCAGAGCAAAAATTTAATACTGCCACTTTTAAAAGTTGTTTTCAGTAAGACACCTTAAACTAATTAATGACATCCAAATCACATGGCTGCAAGTCGCTTGTGCAGTAAAAAATTCAATCTGCAAATTTCTTAAATCCACTTTTTTATGAGCAGTACAATGATCCATAAAAAGATAATATTGCGTTTTTGTAAAGGCAGTTTTCGGTAAGGCACTCGTTATTACTCAGTGAATAGGACTTCGGTCATCCACGTTTTTGTGTTCGCTTTGTAGGTGGTTAGAAAAGTTTTAAAAATTTTTGAAGCAATGTATATTTTTAGAGCGACTGATAACGAGGGGTATAAGTTTTTCACTTCCATCAGAGTTGCAACATATAAGAAAGGTTAACCTTTCCTCCGTGACATTGCTCTCTTGGAGAATTTTCCTCTATGATATTGCTCTCCTTTCAGGGTGCATGTCTTATCTAGAAGAAGATTAAAAAATAAGCCTGTTTCACCGGCATTAAAAATGTCCCTTGCAGAGTAGTTTTGTACTAAGCTTCTCCACTCTTCAATAGTCCTTTCCTGCACACTTGCAGATTCACCACATATAGCACGATCCTATTTTTAAACCTGTCCAGACAGCCATTTGATGAGTAAGTCCTTCCATATTTAGACGGGATGCTATTTCCAGAGTCTTTTCTTTTAAAGTTGATCGGTAGATTAGCAGAACGGGCTTGCTGAAGCCCATTCCGGCAAAATCTTTTACAATTCTGCGTAAGGGGAAGTTTTCACTTTCTTGACTTTCTCTCCTAAAGTCTGCGATTTCGATTCTATGACTTGCTTTTCCCCCAGGAAAAAGCGTTTTCGTTTTGCAGCCATAGTTTTGTATGATTTCTCAATAAATGAGAAGCGATTTTAACCACGCCACCTTTAAGTTCCGGAGGACGTCAAGTTAACCTTTTATTATTCGATTGATAAACAAACGCTGGTGTGAAAGGAGAATAGCATATATTTCACTGGTCAGTGCAATTCTGGATTCAGTACCTATAGCGGGGTGTAGATTAACATGCGCGTGTAATAGATCCCTACTCAATTCGTGATGACGCACTGACACTTGAAAGATTAACAACACTTTAACAAAAGCGATGTTATCTTCTTCACTTACGGCTCCTTTTAATGCTGAATTACTTCAGTAATGCTTCTTCAACATCCTTGCGGTCTACTTTTTTTTGCCATTTAAATTTTTTTCATGAGCAGAAGTGCCTCACTAGCCACTCTAGAGGAAATTCAATTCACCTCCATTTCCCTCAAAAAAGAGGATATGTATAAAGGAGAGGAGTACCTATCATTTATATTAATATAACAAAGCTTTCTATGAAAAAAGAATGTTGAGTGTTATTTTTTCAGAAGGCTTTACTATGCAGTAATTTTTACGATTTGCTTTATCTTCCCTGGACACATTAATGCGGGGGAAAAAATTGGTACCGGACAATGATATGAACCAGATGATGATAATATCGCTCATAACTGTTTTAAAGTAATCTTTAACCTAATGAGTAGCTTTACGAATACGAAAAAAAAACTTCTTGTTGACATCTTTGACTCTTAATAAGACAAATCGAAAAAAAAAAAAAAAACATTATCAAAATCTTTATTGGTTTTCAGGCCATAATCGGCATAATTACATAAGAAGCAATTTGACATTGGTTGTTTTCATTTCGAATCAGTCTAAAATATCCTTTCTCACCCCATTTTCGACCCCAACTGCAACATAAAACAAAGGATTACTTTAATATTAACTAAATTGTAATTTCTAGCAGGTATAGTAAATGCACGTTTTTAAACAATTGACACAATAACCACAAACTTCAAATATTTAAGCATTAATTTATGAATTTTCGCGAATATAATTTTTGTTGCTTTTATACATGTGTTGGATTTCAAATTTAAAGTAAGTTTTTGTTCGGAAAACTAAAGATTTTTTCAAAATTGTATTTTTAGTTAAATTTGTTTTTTGTTAGAATGTACTACTAGTTTAGAAAAGGACGTATAGGTATAAATATATATATTGCTCATGGGCTAAAATAGAGGCACAACAGAACAGGTGTAAATAGGAAAATACACATTCTTTTCAGCAGCACTCATAATTTTACTTGAAGGTAATCTTTGTTTAAGAAAACTAATGCATTTCTTGTGCATTTTCCTTTGCAATGAAAACTTTAAACCCACTTATCTCTAAACATGATTTTTTTTGAGTTGTGCCGCTATTGTAGCCCATGAGCGATATATACACACTTGTCTGTTCTTTTGAAAATAACACTTAAGACAATAAGCATATGGTTTTAGCGTATTGCATCATAGACTGAAATATATTATCGCTTTTTTTTCCTACTATGCATTACGTAACAGAAAGACAGGAACACTTTGAATTCAATTGAGTGAATTTCAAAAAATCCTAATCAGGAACATTATTAAATTGCATAAAAACTAGCTTGTCGCGAGAACCATCTTATAATGTTGTTTGCGGCCTTTTTAGATAAGTAATAACAAGCTAGACATTGAATAATATTATGTTATGTCTTAATATTTAGTTTGAGTTTATTGGCACACGAGTCAGACCAGTCACTAGGTTTAAGAGTTTATTATTTTCTAGAGTAATGCATATAGTCCTATTGTTTTAATAAATTGGTTAAGATCGTGATGTGTAGGGTCGCCAAGTACGGCTAAAAGATCTGAATAAAAGCAACCAAAAGTTCGTTCCTCAAACGTTTGAATCGTTTACAGTCGGTGAAAATATGTTTAATACTAATGTCAGCACGACACGTTGGAGGTTTGGCTTTCAGTAAATGTTTATGGTTAAAACGGAAATGGCCGATGAGCAGTCTATTAACTAAAATCTGTGTTTTGCGATCGGAAGATATTGTTTCACAGTTATCAAGGTTAGGGTAAATTTCATGTAGTTTATTATTCATTTATGTATTTCAGTCTTCTTTCTGCTGTATTGAAGATTTCCAAATTTGTTTAATGTCCAAAAGTGTAAGGGAAATAATACTTCAATTTTGAGTAGTTTTAGCCAAAATATCGGCACGGTCATTCCGATGTGTGAAGGTATTCAACAAAAGTAGCCACTATATCCTTTGTCTTCTAAGCGTGAAATGGCTTAATGATAATTATGTTATGCAATATACTTATGTCTTAATAATCTAAAAATATTGGCTAATAACATAATATTTTTAGATAAGCAATAACATGCTTTAAACGTTATCCTGGCTGGAAAAAGAAGCAATCACTACCTGTTTTTGATTAGCCAGTAGGGTACGCCTCCTGGTGATGTGCCATATCCAACGACTAAAACAGCGTGGTTGACAAAAACATCACTTGTGCATTTTTCATCATGAAATACGCCAGTACTGTTAAAAAAAAACATTTTATAGGTATTAAAAAAAGAACACCCCGGATTTATGTACATAATTTAAAACTCCCATTTTACAAACACTTCAATGCCGATGGTGTGAACCGACACAAGTAAAGTGGGAGGTAGAAAAGAACTACAATGGGAAAAGTCAGGAAGAAAAAAAGCCGGAGAAAAGAGTAACGGAAATAAAACACTAGGGAAAAAAACACTCCGGAAAAAAACACCTCATTATCAATTATATGAATTTATCAACCGCACGGTTGGACTAAACTCTAATTTAACAAAGTTTCATTATTCGAATAAAATTACACACTTATTAAAAAAAATTTATATATAAGAAATAGTTTAAAAGCAAAATAATTAAAAGAACTCTTAAGCAATTTCAAAATTGTTCTACATTTCAATAATTACACATATTGTATTGTTGTTGTCATGTCTATAGTAAAGCCCTAGATTACCTAGTATCCAGATCTGCTGTCTATAACAGTGCTAAATATTTCCAAAAGTTTAGAGAACGACTTTTGCGAGTTCTGGCCTCTGAAGAATGTAATAATGTTCTCTAGTAGAGATCAACAAGTGCAGATGGCTTCACAGTTTAAAACGTGTTCTGGCGTTAGTTGGGTTTAGGGGCAATGTATGCATATGGGGTATAATCTGATCTTGTCTGAAGAAATCTTCGTGTTCATGAAATGGCCCCGCATGGGATCTTGCTATTGCGGATGTGTGATTTCTAGGACAATTCGTCGCTTTCAAAAAAATCGAAAAATGAGATATTTGGATCATTTTGTGTAAAAAAAAATCACCCTTTTAGAAAAACAAAGTGTTATCTTCATAGTTCCATAAAATTAATTTAGAGAGCAGTTAAATCGTTATCGCATTGCCGCGATTAGCATTAGCGCGGAAAGTTTGAAATCGCTCTCCTGAAAAACTTGCTTTTTTGAGTTACCAGGGTTTAGTTTCAAAGCGACGAATTAAGATCCGGACAACCGCATTTGTGTCATCATAGGTGACAGTGGGGGAGAAAGGACGTCTGAGTACTCACTTTCTTTATGTCCACACGGGTAGGGATCCCACTGAAGGGTGACAGGCTTTTTTTAAAGTCCCAGTAGGTTGTTGATGCTCAGGGTTCAATTTGTTTCTCCACTGCATATGGCTTCTAGTGCAGATTCTGAGTCGAAGAAAATGACCAATCCTTTTGTCGAAACTTCAGGTGTAGAAGGTAAAATGAGAGTTTCTTTGACAAGAAATTCGAAGCTGTTTGGCCATTGTGAATTTTGAAATTCACCAGAAGAGTGAGTAACAAAGATAACTGTACCACCTCTGTTATAGTTATCAGAAGAACCATCTGCGTATTTTATTGCTTTCAACATTTAACCGATTGAAGATGTCTGTGCTAGCTATTTCCATCAATTTATGTGTTGTAGGAACAAAAATGGAAAAAGTAAAATGGTCATCAGTACTTTGTTACAAAATAAAAAACAAAAATAGCTTTAAACAAAGTAGACAAGGAAATGGATGTATATTGTTTATATTCGCCACGGATTGGCAAATTAAAATTCTAATCGCGGGTCCGATAAAAACTTCCGGGCGGGCCACCGTTGGCCCGCTGGCCGTTGTCTGCCCATCCCTGGCCTAATCTATCCTCAGAAATATCGAATAAATATAATAATATTAACGAATAAATTAATATCAAATCGGATACAACAAATATTTCGGAAATTCACCGAAGCGACTTTGTGATTGTTGCGATTCTCCGGTGAAAGTCGACATTCTCTTGATTTCGGACTTTCACGATAACATACACTCAGTCAGTCTACATACACCCGCTAATATTCGCAGATCTAGCACTTTATTCATATTTTTGAATATACAACTTTATTTTCGCTAACATCTTGGATAATAACTCATATCTAACAAAAGAAATTATGAACAAATTCTTTAAAATATAACAAAAATTAACAACATATTAAATTATAGAGTCACAAAAGTCTACATACAGAGACAGACAATACAAACTTTCAGAATTAAATGCCAAAAAATGCAACATTAATAATTTGTAGGACCTCCCTTTGAAGTAACAACTGCCTGAATTCGGTTTGGCATCGACATAACCAGATTTTTTGTCATCTCAGGTGTAATTTGAGACCATGCAAGCTCTATTGCCTTCTTTAAGGTTTCCTTGCTTGTTACCGATTGCTCCCGAACTCTCTTATCAACTTCCTCTCAAAGGTGCTCGATGGGATTAAGGTCTGGGGACAGTGGCGGCGAATGGAGCTGTTTAGGCGTTTTATAGAGTAGCCATTCCTTAACAATCTTAGCTGTATGTTTTGGGTCGTTGTCTTGCTGGAAGACAAAGTTGTTCCCAAGTCCCAATTTTCGAACCGATGGAAGTAAATTGTCCTTCAAAATCTTCAGGTATTCAAATCGATTCATTATGCCATCGATAAACACTGAATTGCTGACTCCAGCAGCCGCAATTGCTCCCCAAATCATAACACTGCCTCCACCGTGTTTCACAGTTGGAGTCAAATTCTCGGGATTCATTTCTGTGTTTTTTTTCCACCAGATTTTTCCGCGGCTATCACTCCCGAACACGTTGAACTTACTCTCGTCTGTAAAAACAATTGTTTTCCAAAAATTAAAATCTTGGTCAATATGAGCAGAAGCAAAATCAAGTCTCTTTTGTTTGTTAGTAGATGAAATGAACGGCTTTCGTCGAGAAGCTCTACCATTGTAGCCGGCTGATCGAAGGATTCTACGAACAGTTTCTGGATGCACTTTCTTTCCAATAGCTGTTGCAATTTGATTCTCTAATTTTGGAGCACTAATTTTCGGATTTTTCTTCACTTTTCTTACTATGGTTCTTGCATCACGATCATTAAGCTTCCTTGGACGACCACATCGATATTTGTTAAGCACATTTCCGCGCATAACAATTTCTGTAGATTGTTTGAACAGTTGACCGACTTTTTTTTACAATTTCTGCATAAGATTTCTTTTCACACTTCATTCTTACTATCATATTTCGAAGTTCTAAAGATGTTTCCTTTCCCTGACTCATTTTGTTGAAGTTACAATGTCAAAAAAATCTCGGGAAATGAAGATTAGAATAGATAACGAAACATGTAACCTCAAACTAAGACAATCTTCCAAAATAACTACGTAAGCAAATTTTTTTTCGTCCGCCAATCAGGTGTATGCAGACTTTTGCGACTTGATAATTACTATACAAATCGCAAAATAATCTAGAAATTATTATTTCCGAATACTTTTATTATGGAAAACAAATTTTTTAGAGAAAACTGAAGGAGTGATATGATTTTTAAAATTGAAATTTAATTACTTTTTGAGAAACCTTTATTTTGATCAGTGTATGTAGATTTTTGCGACTGACTGTATATACAAATCGACATAAAATATTTTACCAGGTGTTAATAACATAAAAAAATACTTATTTCAGTACCGGTAGTTCACGAAATTTTGCGTGATGTAAATCGATGCTATAACAGGTCCATAAGTCGCAACAGTTATTTTTAATGCTTCTTCGTCTCCTTTTTCCAATTGCCTAAATGTTTTGATCGGTGCCTTATTTTTGGTTTTATCATTCTTACAAACACCATCCTGAAAAGAAAAAAAAAACATTTCTGATTTTTTTAAAGATCTACATTAATTTTTTTTTAAATTTGTAACTACAAAGTATTTTAAAACAAAATAAGTTAGAAAGGTGTGTTGCAAAATATCAAAACCAGTTTGTTTGCCTTTATGAAACTAGAATTCTCCAGCAATCAAACAGGTTTAGATGTTCCCATATTCCTCACCGAATGGTAAATTAGATTTCAATGGCGTTTCTTTTTCCTGGCTTAAATATCAATTTATGATCCATAATATTATTAACGTCAAGATATTTTAAATTAAGGTTTAGTAAGGATGAAAAAGGGAATTAAAATAAAGAAACAAGAGGTAGGGAACTAGAGGAAAAGCGTAGAAAATTCAAGTTTTTGATTTACTAGATACTTAATGATAATTTTTTTGAATGCTTTTTGTGATTTCATTTTAAAGGATACAACAAATGCAGCAATTATACTTTTCTGGTTTGAATTTTTTTTCTTCACTTTTTCAATGTTTGCGCGTTTTTTCTTGGATTGAAATATTTCCATTCATCTGGACGGGTGTTGTTTATCATAAATTGAGCCTAAAAATTAATGAGAATGCATTTTTCTCTCTAAAATACTATTTTTAATACACATATTAACATTAAAAATGAGTTGTATAATGCTATTTTGTTCGTTTTCTTTTTAATATTATTGTTGGTGCAGGGTAACAAAAGGGGGGTAATTTATCCATGAATCTTCACTTCTAATTTGAGCGGACTGTAATATCACTGGTAAGACCTAAAAATAGTAACTTTTCTAGATCTGGTAAATGCTAGCATTGGAATACGACAAGAGAGAGAGAGCACCACCACAACCTTTTAACAGCTTGTTTATTGCGACTCTGACTGTTACAAAACGTTACTGTAGATGGGGCTGGAGTAAAGATGCAACATACTCTCTGCGTTGAAATACAGTACTGTATTTCAAATATATCAGCAATGAAATAATATGCAAAAACAAACAATTGGGAAATGACATCACTTTTTTTATGAAATAGAAAACAAAAATATATATACATGTATAAAATTGACACACAATGAAATGACTTAATCAAACTTCAACTGGCCTTGGTAAAATGGCTGGCTTAGTGATAGGACGTTTGAAAATACCACGTTTGGTTTTCACACTGCAAACTCTAACACATTTGTCCTTTCCTGGAAACATTTCGACAACAACTCTCATGAGCCATTGATTAATGGGCAAATTATCGTCTTTTACTATAACTACAGTGCCGATAGAAATGTTATCCTTTTCAAAGAGCCATTTCGATCGCTGTTGTAAATGGATCAAATAATTATTTGACCATTTTTTTCAAATTGCTTGGGTGATTTTGTTGCCTCCTACTTAACCTATTATCTGAAAGATCAATTAATTCTGGTTCAGGAATGCTTTTTATAGATCTTCCTATTAAAAAATGAGCTGGTGTTAAAACATCCAGACCATCAGCATCACCGGAAAGTGGCATTAAAGACCTTGAATTTAAAATACTTTCGATTTGATTAATAATAGTAAGAAATTCTTGTATGTTAAAGTATCTATTGTTCATTTGAAGTAAAATTTAAATGAATTTACACTACTTTCCCATATTCCACCAAAATTTGGACTTCTAGGGGGAAAAAACTTCCAATTAATTCTCTCAGCAACAAGAAATTTCGATAGAGTTTCATCTGGTTTACTAACTAGATTATACAAACGTTTAATTTCTTTATTTGCTCCTAAGTAGGTTTTGTCATTGTCACTAAATAATATGGAACATTTGCCTCTACGGGCAATGAATCTTTTTAGGGTTGCAATAAAAGAGTTAGAATAGAAACAATTTCAATGTGAATAGCTTTAGTTACAAGATATACAAAAATAGCAATAAATATTTTTTGAAACGGACCTTTACGTTGATTTTTGTTTTTTATGAAAAAAGGTCCTGCGAAATCAGTACCAGAATTTAAGAAAGGAAAAGTTGGTTTACATCGATCACTAGGCAAATCTCCCATTTTTTGAACTAAAAATCTAGGTTTAAATTTAGTGCAAATGAACAATTTTTCATGAACAATCATGACAAATCATGAACAATTTTTCGAGCCAAATTCCTACCATCTATTATCCAAACTGTTAGCCTTGACAAATTTAATAGTGCCTGTGCACCTACGTGACAATTTGATTTATGAAAATTTATTGAAATAAGCTCAGAAATTTTATGATTTTTAGGCAAGACTATGGGATGTTGGCTTTCATAGGGAAAATCAGAATTTGTTAGACGCCCTCCAACTCTTATAACATTTGCGGAATTATTAAAAAATGGAAACAAAAATTTCAGTTTGCTAGTAACATGCACTGGTTTACCGGATTTCAATAATTTAAATTCTTCTGCTAAAGATTCCTTTTGCACAAATGAACATAACTTTAATTCTCCTTCACTTACCTCACAGGATGTAAGACTTCCACTTCTCTTAATTTGATTCTTACAGTTGTAAATAAACCTATATACTTAAGACATTACATTAATCAATTTTGAATAAGAATTTGTTTTAGAAAATATTTGGTTTGAAAACTTGGAAGGAGAAATTAATATATTAATGTCTGCCACCATTATGATTGATGTAAAAGTTCCTTTGTTTGACAACCACGTGACAATATATCCGCTGGATTGGATATCGACGGAACATAGTTCCAAACACTATTCTGTGATAGTTGTTGGATTTCTTTTACTCGATTGGCGCCATATTGTTTTAACTTTAAACAGTCAGCTTTTATCCATGCGAGAACTATTTTTGAGTGTGAATATATATAACACTGTTCGTTGGGGACATTCAGAGAATTCCGTACTTTGTCTAGTAGCCTGCATGCCAATAGAGAAGATAACAGTTCAAGACGCGGAATAGTGAGTTTATAGGAACAACTCTTGACTTAGAACACAATAGTTTTGATGTAAGCTGGCCGTTTACATTTCAATTTTGTGCGTAAATTGCTGCTCTGTAACCAAGGACACTGGCGTCGGCAGAAACATGTAGTTCCATTCCTGATGCATTGTCTGTCACTTTGTAATGGTACTGAGCATGAAAGAGTGCTATTATTTCCTACAGATGTAGCCACCTACATGAAAAAAGCTGGAAATGCCTTAAAGGTTTTTTTCCTAATATGATCCATCTAACGTGCCTTGCTCATGCATTGCACAGGATAGCATAGGAAGTAAGAGGTCTCGTCTCTATCCTGAGGTAGACTCGCTTGTTTCTAGTGTAAAAAAAGTATTTGTGAAAGCCCCTTCAAGAGTTCAAAGAAATTGCACCAGACATTCAATTACCTCCTAAACCGATCCTTACGAGATGGGGAACATGGAATTCAGCAGTCTCATACTACTGCACAAATTTTGAGGAAGTTACTCGAGTCCTTACCAGCTTTTCGGATGAAGAGGCAATATCCATAAGAAAAAGTAAAAGTCTGCTTAGCAGTTCTAAAATAAAAAATGAACTGACTTTTATTTCAACTTATTTTGGGACGCTCCCTGGAGCTATTGAACACATGGATAAAAGAAATATGTCTTTGTCCGAGTCACTAAAGGTTTTCGACAATACTATTGAAGAACTAATGTCTGTGCCTGGACCAGCTGGTCCCAGAATGAGGAAGAAATGTGAAAACGTCATCTCTGCAAATACAGACTTTGAATGCATCAAGGACATTGCAAAAGTATTTTCTGGTGATACTACTGTTGAACTTACCATATCTCCTACCATGGCAAGTTGTTTTAGGTACGCGCCCATAACCTCTGTCGAAGTAGAAAGATCCTTCTCTTTGTTTAAAACTATATTGACTGACAGACAGGAGACAAAATTTCTCTTTTGAAAAAGCATCTAGTTGTGATGTGCAACAACAACCAATCATCAGAATAAATCTGCATACAATATTATTGTAAGAATGAGTTTTCAATTTTTATTTCACACTTACGCAGTGGAGGTTTTTTTTTGTGCAATTATGTCCACTTCTTTTGTACTATTGCTACGACAGTCGAGTAAAATGAATATGTAGGTATACCGGATACTTCTAGCAACTTTATTTATACCTTGGATACCTATATGGGCTTTTAGGCATTACCAACTACCATTTTGTTCCAATTTTAAGCGCCTATTTCAAGCTTTTCAAATGACTTTTTGCCTGCCTAATTTTGCATTTTTTATTGCCTGAAATTCCGAGCTTTAGTTATAAGCTCTTCAATTTTTGAATTTAAGTTTTTTATGTCTAATTCTTTACTAATTAAAATTTCCTGCAACTCGGTTAGTTCCGCTTCATTTGTTTCATAAGTTTGTTCACCTTTATTTTGCATGAAAGCGTCTAATCGAGTTATTGCTTTTGAAATACTTGATCGAATTGTGGTACGTTTCTTTTTTAGTTTGTCAAATTTTTCCATTGTTAATTGTTTTTAGTTTAGAAATTCCTCAATAGTAATAAATTTTAAGGGGACATAGGACCTTAAAATGTTCAAATTTTTGGCTCAAAATATTTAATAAATCAGTTTTTATCATTTGCCGTTTAAATTTTTTCGATCCGTCAAATATTTACGATTTTATGGCGATTTTAAAAAAAAGTGGGCTTGGTCTCCAGAGTTTGCTTACATTACGTGAGAGCTGTCAAATTCCGTTTTGCAACAGATGTCAAAAATATTTTTATGTTTTTATTTAATTTTATAACTATTGATGATTATAATAATATAATGAAACAAATCTGGCAACACATAATATTAACTTTAACTGTAGGTTTGCTTACATTCTTGCATTTGTTTATGTTTTTTTGGCGTTGTTTGTAATAATTTTGAGCACGTCTAAAATTACTTATTTTGATTGTTATTTATTGATTTTTTGCTTCGTTACGTTTATTATTATCTTTTTAAATTTATTTTTTGCTAAAAATGCATAAAATTAACTCCAGATGGCATGCTCTAAAATCACATCCATCGCCGACTAGCTGAAATTGAAATAAAGCTAGATGGAATAAAAACATTGAAAATGTTTCTTCTGCTGAACCTGTTCCAGATGAATATTGTAATGATACTGATTTGCCAGTGTCATCAATTATTGCTGATGAGGTTTGGCCTTCTCTTCTGAAAGAGTTAAAATGCTCTAGTTGTGAACAGCACTGCCTTGATGTTAGAAAATCAACTGAATATGGTTTTTCAGTTAAATTGCAAATCTATTGCCAGACTTGCAATAATGCTTCTAGCAGTACTTTTTCAAGTCCCAGAATGCCTGACAGTAAAAAGATGTGGCGTAAACAAAGATGTGGTTGCAGCCTTTCTGAATGTAGGCAAAGGCCATTTTGCTTTGGAAAAATTCTCTGCGACAATGGGACTCAAACCAATGGATAGAAAAACATTTGACAAATATGTTCTTCACCTAGCAGAAGAGAATAAGGCGTTCAAAAATGAAGACGAAGGGATTTTGAATATTGGAGTGTCATATGACGGAACGTGGATGAAACGTGGCCATTGCTCTTTGTATGAAATTGGCTGTGTTATTGACATTTTCACTGGCATTGTCGTGGACTTCACTATAGTGTCGAAATATTGCCACTTATGTGAAGTTACGGGAAAAGAGCTTGGCACTTCCTCGCCTGAATTTCACATGTGGAGCGAGGGTCATAAAAGTTCCGCCATGTGTGAAAAGAACTATGACGGATCTTCAAATGTTATGGAAATGTTCGCTGCCAGCATTTTGTGGCAGCGTTCCGTTGAACAGTGCCAAATGCGGTATACTTCTTTGAGATGAAGACTCAAAAACATTCATTAATTTACAAAATTTAAAAGTTTATAAAGATGTGGATTTACAAAAAGAGGAGTGTGTTAATCAAGTTGCGAAGAGGCTTGGCACAGCCCTTCGTAACAAGTAAAGGAGTTCAAAGTGAAAGGGGATCGCATCAGTGGCAAAAAGAAGGGACTTTTGACGAACGATATAATAACTAGGCTCCAAAATTACTACAGAAATGCCATTGTCTAAAATGCTCCAGACCTCACCTCAATGAAGACAGCAATATTTGCATCACTTTACCACTGTTCTTCAACAGATGCCCACCCTAAGCATTTCAAGTGTCCTATAGGGAGTGATTCTTGGTGCTTTTACAATCGCGCCAAGGCACTTGGTAGAAAAGTACCAAGTCACACGACTATGAAAGTTACCATAAGTGAGGCTATTGTCTCAAAATTGCTTCCTGTCTATCAGAGACTCGCTTGTGATGAACTTTTGAAACGTTGCACATCTGCAAAAACTCAGAATGCAAACGAAAGTCTGCATAGTGTAATTTGGAGTATGTGCTCCAAAAATGTTTTCGTTTCAAAGAGGCGGTTGGAGATGGCAGCTACAACAGCAGTGAGCAACTTTAACATGGGTAGTCTTGCGACAACTGCTCTAAAAAATGACAAGGGCTCGAATAATGTAGCTCGCCGTATAGATGAGCGACGTATAAAGCAAAGTAAAAGGTGACACACAGCTACTTATAAAAAGGCAGCAAAAGAAAAAAAAAATTGTGATAAGAAAGCAGACAAAAAAATAAAAGCCATTGAGGGCAACACATATGGTGCTGGTGCATTTTGAACTATAGTGCTATATATAAATTCATTACCCATTGTTATGAATCCAAAATTTTAGATAATTTGGACAATGTATGAGATTTGGCATATTTTTTTAAAAATTTTTTTTTCTATCAACAATATAAGAATGTTTAAAAATTTTCGCAAAACTTAACCCACTTTTTTTTAAAGATATATCTGGTACTTATAATACTGTACTTGTTTTATTTTCAACCAATAGACAATCAAGCTTAAGAAATAATATAAACTTTTTCCTTCGAGAAAAGTTTTTTTCTTTTTTTTATTGGTTCTTTTCTGAAGAGGCGATGAGTCGGGAATGGTTAAAAAAAAAAGAGATTGATGGTGGTTTTTTGAAATGTTGCGTCTCTGTTAATATGTGTCTGTGTTGTGCATCTATAGGTTTTTGCAATAAAATGTGTGCTACTGTACTGTGCATCTATAGGTTTTTGCAATTTGTTTGTGTTGTGCAATTTTAAGATGCAAGCTAAACAAACAATCTTCGTAACAAAAATTCATACGTCTTTACAATACTAAACATATTGATTAAAAGGATTCCTAAGCAATTCTGAAATTGTTAACAATATCCAGAATATCTGGCCTTGCAACTTTTATTTAACTTCAAACTTTGTATATTAAATAACTTTTTAAAAATATCTAGTTACGTTCGTCTCATGACGTTGAATTCGGATTCTACTGCCTGAATGGACTTTGGCTTTAAATATAAATAATAGTTAATGAGGAGCGTTTCTCCCACGATTCCTAGAACTAGAGGGTAGCCCAAAACTTTGATAGCTGTACTCCACTGAGGCAAGGCAAAAATAAATGTTCTGGAGAAGACCATGGCCCACCATGTCATTGCGCCAATTTTCAATATTTAAAATTTTTCTAACACTGTTTTTGAGAAGGATTCTAAAAATAAATTAAGGGTGAACAATACGTAATACCCTGTATATAAAAAGCAATATTAGGGAATTGAAAAGTTAGTTACGAATGTGATAAAATCCTACAACAACTCTTTAATCAATACATTTTACTGCTTACAAACATACGTATTAATGTATGTAATTCTTTATATTATTCTCTGGTGTGAATCACTCACCTTGCCTGTATACGGATAATCTTTCTCGGTGTTTATTCCTTTATTTTTATAGACGTATTCCAAAGCAGGGACGGGATTACCACCGCGGCAACCTAAATGTACAGAATTAAAAGTATTTTACTAAATATTTATACAAAAAATTAAACTGTTTACGTAGAGTGCAACAAATACAAAACAAAATGACAAAGGATTTTGCTCAAATAATCAGATTTTCCCATACTGAAGGCGTTGCAGGATCCCGAATTTTGAGGGGGACAAAATGAAATTATACAGTCACAATAGTTTTCTACAGTTCACTAACAAGAAAAATAAATTCTTAAATATGCTATTATACCTGAAGGGAAAAAAAATTATTTTTATCTCTCTTCTTAAGTTAACGGAATTTAAATCTATGATAATTCACGAATTTTTATTTTTCTGAAATTAGGTGGATTTAAAGAGATTTCTAATAATTAAGAGGGGAACATATAACTAGAAAAACTACTTGAAATGTCATTTCTCCTATATATACTTGGTGTGGGTTGATAAATGATAACTTGTCAGACATTTAACATTTTAAAAAGAATTCTCTAACTTCCGAAGAACTTCAGGTTTATACATAATGTCAGAAGTTTGTAAAATACTAGGCGGCGCCCTTTCCAAAGATGAAGTTTGATTTACTACATTATTAATGAAATTTCTTAGTAACCTTTTCCGACACTATATTAAAAGGTCATTCATATATAAGTATTTAATTTTGATATGAATAGTTAACGTTTATTTTATTTAGTTAAACAGAGTTCAAATCTCCAATATATATTTTTTTTTAATTTTTAACTTTATTTGAATTTTATTGTACTTTACTGAATCGAAAAATAAAGTTCAGTATCATATTCCTTGGAAATTTTACTACCAAAACACATTTTTCAGTAACTCTTAAAAATACTTCCTTTTCCCCCATTTTTGAGATCGAAAACTGACTGGCGTGTACAAGCTCACCGTATTTCTTGGAACAGTCCACAAGATTTTGTTCACTTAATCCTATCAGATCACCAGTTTTCATAGCTAAGTGAGCTTCGAGAGCTCCAGTTGTTGAAAATGCCCAACAAGATAAACACTTACCCTGTAAGAAAAGTGAAGGTATTATTCTCTCATCACATGATAATGCATGGGGGGAGGGAGAGCTTGGTGGAAGGGTTCATTTCTTTATTAGTTGGAACAGTGAGAGCACGCGAAATATGAGTGTTTTATGTTTTGGTAATTACACTTTAGGATAGTCCAAAGTGTCCAATAAAGACAGTAGAACAATCTTTAAATTCTTTAGTAACAGAGTTTTCCACCAAATCTACTGAAGGTGAAAGATTTATAGATTTGTATATCAATTGCATTTTTTCACATTCAACGAACGAAACTGTGAACGAATGAAATAAAATACTTTCACTTAGGATTAAAACTTTTCGTCCATTTTTCTTTTATAAAAACTTTTCTAGACTAGCCAGGCAATAATGAAATTGCTAAGACACACCGTAGATTAGGATAAATTCTTTTTATCTTGAATTTTGAACTTTAGTTTAATGGTACTAATTTTTTAAAAGTACATAATACACATAACATTTCGTTATCCAAAGAAAACAGTTTAAAATTCATCCAACATGTTTTGTTAAGTATTTATGAGGAACTTAATTAAAAAAAAACTTAAATAATATAATTTCATGTAAATACTTTAAAAAAAAGGCAATTACTTTGATATTAAAAAGTTGTAGTAATTGTAATAAATTGATTTCGTAAAAATAATTGTTGTTTTTTTCAATGTGTTTGAAAGTTGTAACTGCAACTATAATTTTCAGGATACTACTGCATATTTAACCCATGTTGAAAATGCTCACAACAATTTACAAAAGTTGGAAAAAAACTGTTCGATCGAAGGCCTATCTCGGCAGTTGTCAATTTTTTTGTTATAAGAATTTTTGTTTAGACTGTAGAGTTCGCTAGATCGAAGGGAATACCGAACCTGCAACCTGTTATCGAGCACATCCTGATTTTCTTTCTGCTCTCGGAAATTAACTGTAAGCAACTGCAAGATACAGATGTCATTTTTGTTATAGCGCACTTTTCCCAGCATATAAAAACTCTGTAAAACCACAAAGTATTTACTACTACTCAGTGTGTTATACACTTTTGTATTTTAATTTATTTCAAGTTAGTCACTCAGTTTTGTGACTGTATGCTTTTCCTGAAAATAAAACTTTTAATTTTATCCTCTGATGTATTAATGTTGTCTTTGTTTCACGCAAATGTGAGAACGTTATACTAGTTTCTACAAATCTAACCAGGTAATTACAAAATTGCAGAGACACACAGTGGATTAGGATAAATTCTTATAATCTTAAATTGGAATTTCAGTTTAATTGTATTCAATTTTTTAACAGAACAGAAACAAACCTTTCTGAGGCAGTAAGCGAGGTGCGAAAGGAAAAACAGTATCCACAATTTGTAGCAAGATTCAACTATTTTTTCCTAAGAAGAAAAAAATGGGTTTTGCTAGATAGATCATTAACCAGGGATAACAATACTAACAACTATGCCGTGTCAACGATTCGCACAGTAAAAGATATTGTCCTAAATAGGACAAAAGCTTTTAATGTAGTAGCTTCGATTGAATTATGTCTTGAGGTTTGGGAGAAATTTTTAACTAGAAAACTTTTGGAATACGCACACACTCTCAGAAGAAATGTAGATTTAATATTAAAATCAGTATATGAAAAGAGCAAATACTTAAAAGATGAAAATGTGCGAGAGTGTGCACCAAATTTGTTTCAGGTGCAGAGCGATAATGATGTTAATAAATCATACACTATTAACAATGAGTTAAGGGTTTGCACTTGCTCTACTGGAATGTATGGGGCATTTTGCAAACACCAATGCTTTTTCCTTATGGAAAAAAAACTTTCTTTGCCCAATGCCCCTCCCATTTCAGTAAGGGAAAAACATGCATTGGCGAAATTAGCATTAGGAGATAAGTGTCCTTTTTCTCCAAATTTATAGACAGAGACACTGCAAAACCTTCTTAACTAGAGGAGGAATTATCTGGAGAAAATAATCAAGATAAAGAAACCATTGATGTGAAAATAGATCCTCTTAATGAAAATGCTAATAATGCAGACAAAAATGAAATGGCTGTAGAACTAGATAGAATAAAAGAATTTCTTTTTCAAAGTACATTATAAAAAATAAAAAAAAAGTTACTGATATTATTAACAAACTTTAAAAAAATCAAATCAGCCGATGATTTTGATTAACTGATGTTTTTCAAGGCTACCTTTCGAGAGGAAATGTAACAGATGAATAAGACATTTGCATTAACTCCGCTCCTTTTATATCGCTAATTCTTGACGTCACTAAATCTGCACATTTAGCTGTTTTTGCTCGATATTGCGTAGGAAACGTCATTAAGGAAAAATTAATTGCGATAATATCGTTGCTAACAACTACAAAGGGCACAAATATTTGTACGGCTGTTAAAAATTTGCTTGCTGAGAAAGAAATTGATTTGAAAAAAAATTGTTTCAGTAACAACTGATGGTGCTCCAAGTATGAGGGGTAAAGAAAAAAAATGGTTCATAAGTTTATTTCAAACAGACGTAGGACATTCGATTCTTGAATTCCACTACATCATTCACCAACATGGCTTGTGTGCTAAGGGCGATTTAACATCTCTTGATAAAGGAATGGCTGTAGAATAATAATTTTAAAAAAAGTATGTTACACGACGTACAAAGCAATATTTTTCTAAATAAAAGCTCAGATTGAAAAGAAGAAAAAACGAGTTTGAAAAAATTTAAATTCGCCAAAAGTTGACTTCAACGCCTTGAGGGCTCGCTCTAGCAAATTGCAGAGTAAATTTTACTAGGAGATTTTCGCTGAAGTTTACAGTTGTAGATTATTTAGAGATTTTCTAATTTTAATTGTTAAATTAGAGAAAATAATGTTTCACTGCTCTGACATTCTAAAAGGAAAACTAGTGGCTCTTTATGAAGATGGAAAATCCATCAGAGAAATAAGTCGGGTATTGAATATATCTTATTATACAGCTGGAAAACGGTGCTTGAGGTTGCGGCGAGAACAGTACTTATGTTATAGAAGTATCTACAGCTCACATCAATGCTTGCCCTGAAGTGAATAGGAAGTCCAGTGGTTATTGATTGTTTGATCAAGCGTGCTTCGCCTGTTTTTTTCGCAATCTGATGTTAACTTTAAATCTTTAATTTAATATTTCTTTTAAATGTTTATATAATAAAATGTGATTGTCTTTATCTGGTCTCTCATTCATTTTTAACGCAACCTACGCTTCAGTGGTGACCTATGGACTATGAATGAGTTCATTACTTGGTCAAGCTTTTAAGCCTACTGATTTTCCAGACATCTTTTAACTATCCTACAAGATTCCTTTTGATGAGCAACAGAATCAGGTCGCTAAAGTTGCCCTTCGTATGAAGGGCAAGCATATAAATAAGCGGAGGCAAAGAAAACAACAGGGAACAACAGTATTTTTTCCCTTCTGGAAAACAAACGTAAGATTACAGATAGCGCAATGCGACAATGCTTTCACCTACAACGGGATTACCAACCAGACAAAATTTTCGGCTCTAATTGCTAACATTGATGGTGAAACGCTAGCACATGTTTCTGACATTGTACTTAACTCTCTGGACTCGGAAAAATGTAAGAATCTGTGCGCCAGACTCGTTAGTGAGTTTGAAGAGTCCCTAAAGTCGTTCAGCCAAGCGTGATTTGTGCAACTTCAAGTTATGTTACCTCACCTGATAATTCAACATGTATTACTACTGAAATGCTTGCCAGGCAAATTGAAGCGCTTCAGCTGCAAATTTCCGAGACACCGTTCAAGATCTCGCTCAAGGAAAGGTGAAGATTCAAACTTATGTTTTTATCACAACCGGTTTGGGACTAAAGCCAGGAAGTGCCAGATACCTTGTAATTATAGACAAAAAAAACACCTCAATCCCGTCATAGCTGGCTTCGCAGATGGATTAAGAAAGCCCAGTCGCTTATTTCTCCTTGACCGGAAGACTGGCCAAAAGTTTTTGATCGATTCTGGCAGCGAAATTTCAGTATTACCTCCTTCCTCTTTTGATAAGAGAAAATGCTCCGAAAAATTCTCACTTTTTGCTGCAAATAATAGTAAAATATCTGCATATGGATTTGTTCATAGACAATTAGACTTAGGTCAGAGGAAGCCTTTCTCATGGACATTTGTGGTTGCTGGTGCAATATATGAACTCAAAGCAGTGTTTCGAATAAATATATATTTGAGTTCATCAAAGAAACATTTTTTCTAGTTCCCTGCCATATTCATGACAGATGACTCGCCTGCTGAGAAAACAGCATTAGCATCAGTGTGGCCAAAAAGTGCGGAACTACTATACCATTTACACGTGGCCCAAGCAGAATGGAGTTGACTATTTTCTAAAAATAGACAAGTTTAGAAGGAAGAAAGACTTATGAAACTTTTCCAAAATGTAAATGCCATACATGGATTTATATTTCAATTTCTTTTTTAACATCAATGTATTTAATACATATATAGGAAAAGTGATGTGATACACCTAGGATCGCGAACCAATGGCTAGCGACACGATATTTTGATTAAGCCACCGATCACAAAGTTCACTATTAGGCATACACGTAGCACCTACTCTACGAAGTGTTCGGGCGTGGGGCAGAAGCGCGCTCGTTTATTATTGTAGTTACATCATGATCTACAATTGCTAATGACGCTCAGTTTGTTTACGTATAGTCTGATTGACTTACAGGGTGTCAGGAAAATAAATTACTGAAAAAAAAGGAAAATGGATGATTGAGTTACATTTATCGATGATCATAGTAACCTAGCTGAAACCCAGACACAATTGCAATTTTTGGATGATTACTCTTATAACAACGTTAATCCCGATATTATGATGATCGGATATTTTGCTTTATATGTTAGCAGAAAGTTTTCTAAGCGTCAGGCATGTTTAGACAGCCTAATTTTTCAAGATGTTGATCCTCCCTATGCTGAATTAATTAAAATCTAATGGTGGGTTTCCCACAGAGGAATTATGTAACTGCATCTCTTTATTAGCGAACACAGCAATGCCCACTTTAAACAATATCAAATTAAATATAAGGGTACAGGGGACCTTCAAATTTGAAAAAAGTGACCAAAATTTGCATTTTGATTTTTTTCAAAAAATAGATGTAATAAGCTTTCAAAAAAAAAATATTGAAAATCGAATTATTTTTTACTGAGATATGAGCATTTTAATTAGGCCACACCCCTTTGTTTACCTTCAGAAAACAAAAGTCTATAGCTTGAAGCAGCCGATTTTTTTAGATTCGTTTTAAGTTAAATGTGCTTTGTATTCCTCATTTGAGAAGGGTTTTTTTTGTAAATATAATTGGCAACACAGTTACTTAGCTGATTGCTTGATTATTAAATACTTTTGTTTATTTGAATCGTCAAAATTGCTCTTTTTTTCGTTATTTCTACAACAATCAGCTTTTTCCTAAGCTATTATTCTTACTAAATTGTTTTCGTTAGGTGTAAAATTGTTTTTATTACGTTTTTGAGTTGTTTTTATTGAATTTTTTGACTAATGGATTCTATTACTTCTAAGTGGAGAAAACTGAAAGGTAGAATGAGTAGAAACAAGCAGGCCTGCTCTAAAGATGCAAAACTAAGGAGGGCGAAGAATACGAGTCAAAAAGAAACTGTTAGTTCTGTTGCTGATTCGCCACAGTTGAACTGCATTATGATAGAATATTCTTCATCTCTAGAAACAGGAAGAAATATTCAGAGCAGTACCTCACAGTGCAACATTATAGATTTATCTTCACTTAGCTCACTTTTAAAAAATGTGCATTGTAGTCACTGCAATAAATGTAACTCAAAGATTGAAGAGCATATAACATAGAGATATGCGTCAAAATTTGAGCTCAAATGTGAAAGTTGCGGGAAAAGTTTTGGCTCAACTTTCACTAGTGAGAGGGAAACTTCAAGTAAGAAGTTTGACATTAATTGCAAATTTGTATCCGCATTCCGGTCTATTGGAAAAGGATACACAACAATGGAAACACTTTCTTCCACTTTTGGAATGTCAACGATGGACAAAAAAATATTCACTAGATAGTCTAGCTGAGCAAAACTTTCTGATGAAATCAGAAATGCTGCGTGTTTATAGAGAAACAGTAATAAATAAACATTGGGAATCAAAATCAAACGTGTCCCCAGGTGATACCTTAGAAATCAATATTTCATATGATGGAACATGGCATAAACGAGGTCATACTTCTCTTCATGATATAGGTCTTGTTATTGACATTTTGACTGGACTTGTAATAGACTACGAACTGCTGTCAAAATATTGCCATGATTGCACAATGACAGCAAAAGATTTGGGAATAAATTCTGCGGAATATGGTATATGGAAAGAATCTCATGAACCGGTGTGCCAAAAAAACCTTCAAGGTACATCGGGGAGTATGGAAATGGAGTCTGCCTTGATTCTGTGGAATCGATCTGTAGCAGAGAGTAATATGCAATACACGACTGTGCTGTCTGATGGTGATGCCAAAACTCACCAGTACCGAACTGTCAAAAATGTATACGGCTGTAAAATTGAAATCGAAATAGAAGACTGTGTCAATCATGTATCCAAAAGACTTGGAACTGCCTTGTGAAACAAGGTAAAAGAGTGGAGAATAAATAAAGTTACTCTTGGCAGAAGGAAAAAAGGGCATCCTACTGAGGCCAATATAAAGAAGTTGAAAAATTATTTTAGGAAAGCGATTGTGTGTAATGCTCCAAATATAACTTTAATGAAAAAAGCAATTTAAGCAGCACTTCGTCACTGCAAGTCAACTGACGCCAAGCCCCAGCACCGTAATTGCCCTGATGGAAAATATTCTTGGGGTTTTTTCAAAAGGGCACTAGCCTTAAATGAAAAACCAAAATCGCATACGCTAAGGAAAACATATCTTTCGGGTGAAGTTTTGGAAAGCGACTTGCCTCGGATAAGATGCTTTCTCAATGCATGTCTGCAAGCACGCCACAGTTGCATTTGACGCAAATGCCCAAAAGAGGTGTTTGTGTCAAAAAAAAGGCTGGAGCTGGCAATTTCAGCAACTGTCAGCGAATACAATTTAGGATATGTTAAAAGTCTGAAATTAAGCGATAAAAGTGATAGGGAAAACTCGTTATTAATAGTGTTACGGCGACTTCACCAACTGACAGATTAGATGCCAAAAGGGAAGCCCCTTCTTCATCAACCAATCACAAGGACTTTGAAGGGTTGCCTCTGAAAGGGAGAAGAATCTTGGAGAGCAGTCCGAGAGTTGATTGCTGACCAGTCTTGAGAAAAGACGCTTTCATATTGAGGGAGAGAGGTGCAGGGGTATGTTGGCTATTTTCTATACTTTAATTTTGTAGTATTATGTGTTAGGGTTTAATTATGTTATTGTAGTAATCTAGATTGTAATCAAGATAACCCGAATTAAAATTTATTCTAAATTGTAGATCTGTTGTAATCATGTTATAATTTAATTTAATTTAGATTAGATAGTTTAGATTTAGAGATCCACGTGCGACTTTATAGGTAAAGCCGAATTTATTAGATCTTACTAAAGAACAACGCAATGTATTGTCAACTTCGAAACATTGGCGCCGTGACACACGGCATTTTTTTTTATAAATTTAAAATGCTAGGGAACTTTGAAAATAAGTTTAATTTCGAGACGTGGATTTCTATCTTAACCATCTAGTTATATCAATGAGTAGTTTTAATGCATTAATAATTAATTTCTTTAAACTAAGTACAATTGTTTAAAATTGATAATTATTTCTTTTTTATTTTTAATAATAAGAAATAGGAATTAACTTAGATAAAAAAAAATTTGGTTTGGCAGCTAAGTCTTGCCACGTGCATCTACTGAATAGCTGATCTAGCTAGAAATCCAACCAGATTATGTAAGCTGCAAGTTAGACCCCGTGCGAATTTCCCTAAGACACGAGAGCGCGTTTTGGAACTAACCAAAAAGGAGACACTTATGGATTCCAGAGTAGCAATAATAATTTTCTTTTAACTTACATTAAATTGTTATTCTTAATTAGTAAATGGCCACAGACCCTCTGTATCCTTATCCCCCTCCAAAAAAAACAAAAAACAAATTGTTCCTTCCAAAGAATTGATACTGCTAAACATTTTAGATTCAGTCATTACATCAGCGGCTCCAGTGCTGAGTTTTCCACATTCATCGACGTTGTTCCAGTCCAGATTAGACGGATGTCATTCATCGACGTTGTTCCAGTCCAGAGTAGACGGATGTCATTCATCGACGTGGTTCTAGTCTTCAGTACAGTTGATTCTTCGACACGGTTACAGTATTCACCTGCTGATCTTCAGCCTCAGCTTCAGATCATTTTCATCGGAGTGCTTAGAAATCTGACAAAGTGTTCGACGACTCATCGGAATAGACTCCCCCCCCCGAAACATTCCAGATTCAGGCAGACACCCGTGCCGACTTTCTATATACAGCATCAATTGTCCCGGTTTGGAGTATGAGTGATTCTTCGACCCTGTTCCAGTGTTAGCCTGTTGATCCGAACTGTTAACACTGCCTCTCCTCAGCTTTCGATCACCTATACATGTATAATACTTTATGGGACTCTAAGCAATTGCCTCTTGTCACCTCCCTCCCTCACGATGTACGATTTGTCGGCGGAGGAATGTTACGGCGACTTCACCAACTACCAGATTAGATGCCAGAAGGGAAGCCCCTTCTTCATCAACCAATCAGAAGGACTTACAGGGGTTGCCTCTGAAAGGGAGAAAAATCTTGGAGAGCAGACCGAGAGGTGATTGCTGACCAGTTGCTTTTTGATGACAGCCCCCTTTTTTAAGCTCTTTGCTTTTATTTTCTTACATATGTGTATGTTGAGCGTTTCTAAATAAAAGGATTCTCCATGAAAAATTGGTATTAGAATAGTATCAAAAATATTTTTGACTTCGTGGAGTTTTTTTTTTTTTTTCATTTTCCACAATAACAGATTTGAGATATGTTGCGGCAAGTTTTTCTATTTTGGCTAAATTTGTTTCGTGAAAATCAGTATTTGGAATATTGATATCAGTAATGTTTGTCTTGCAAAATTTTCAATAGAAAAAGTCAGTTTGCTATTATATTGAACTTTATCATAATTATAGTTGTTTCTGAAGCCCAAAGAAATTGATGAGCATAAAATTATTTTTTCACTAATTTTAGCATATTTTTCAGGTGCTTTGTTGGAATACATTCAGTGTCTGGCTCCAAAGTAAAAAAGGAAAAGATTGTATCAAGGGATTCACTCTAAGATTTTAAGCTTTCTATCTTTGACAGTTGGGTGAAAGATTGTCGAAATTCATAAATTTTTTATTCTTTCTTTCATTCACAGGGTGCGTAAAATTTTAAAAGGTGTTTATTTTGCTTATATGAAATGATCTGTAGAGATTAATAATGTCATTTTTGTTAGTTCTAATTGTTTTCTTTTCATTATCTATAATTTATCAACATGTTTATGAAGTTTTAATAAAAAACTTTGTGTTATTTAAAAAATTGAAACATTTGATGTTAGAATTACCTAGTTTAGATTTTGAGAATAACTTAATTTTCAAAAATTGTGGTATTAGGTGTTCTAATTATCATTTATATTCTGTATTCTTATACATTAAATGATATATCTTGAAGTTCAGTATTTAACCTGTTAAAAATTTCATTCTCGCTGGCCTTATGCCAAACGAGCAATAAGGAAGAAATGTTGTTGTATAGTTCCTATTCAGGTAGATAAGCAATGTTAAGAAAATGGTCACCCGTCAGGCCTTAGGTTACAATTAAATTTATTAAGTTACTCGGCCAGTGTAATTTTTTAGCTACGAACTATTTACATATTTCTTTGAAAAATTGAAACTATTTTAGCACCTAATCTGCTTTCTGAAATCTTGGCCACTAATATCATAGAGTTAACAATTTACTAAACAGTTTTAATAAGCTGTTTGCATCTTCTGAACGCAATTCAATGTTTTAGTCTCATAAATTTAAAATCCGCTTAATGTAATTTTTTTTTTACCTGTATTCCAATTAGATAATAAATCGTGAAGATTCCATACATTTACAGTTACATTCCATATGAGAGAATTATTCTATTTTATTGTTATAAATGCTAGTTATCTCTTTAGCCCGAGATGTTGTAAATAGTTTCTAAACCATAGACTTTTATATTTACGATTATTAAACTATACGGTTATAAAGCAATTAAATTCTTTAGACCCGGTTAATTAACAGTATTAGGTGTATACAGTAGCAAAACCGTTTAGTTTTGTTACCATGTTTTTTTAACCGTGTCTGTTGTAAACGGTTTTAAATCCGTAAAGGTAAAGAAATTTTCTCAACGGTAAATTTTACGGTTAATCGGATGGAGAGACTGCTGCCGTTCATTTTACTGTAATTTTAGAAAGACATTTTTAACAGTGCAGATTCTAATCTTATTATAAAGCATTTAAGATTATAAAAGAAATACTTTTACTCACTTGGTCTTTAACAGGTGTAATTATACCTTTTTGTGACCAATCAATTTGCTTTGGAATTTTTTTCATGCATCTTTTATCGCAATCAATTTTTATCTTTTTAATTTTGCTATATTTTAACATATCAACAGACACACAGCCAGTGTGTTCTTCAAACTCTTCCTTGGTCTAAAACACAGAGCATATTATTTATTTTCTGGAAATTTAGATGTTAATCACATAAGCATTTAACAATTTATTATTGCACTAAACTTCCTTTCACAGTTTTTTTCTTTAAATTTAAAATGTTACTGTAGTCTTTCTTTTTTCTTCCGGGTTTCAAAGACGACTGTACGCTAATAGATATGTTGAAATAAATAAATACTCGTTAAATATAACCTATTTGCATTATTCACAACTTATTGATGAATTAATATATAATTTCATCAATTTATTGCATGTAATGCTAAATTAATACTCAACTCTATATGATACGCTAGAGCATATCTTATACGCTCTAATGGCGCATCGTAATGACATTAATACCGACACTGTTTTTTTTTTTTTTTTTACCCTTTTTATATGGACGTAAAATGGATCTTCCCAAGGATATCTTATTTAGCGAACAGAAATTTTCGTATGCCGTCAATCGAGAATGTGTTTACGATACGTCAATGCGAACAGAAAAGGCATCTTAATGCGTTAAGGCGTCTCAGTAATGTTAAACTTCAAAATTTTCGAATTTTTGAAAAAAATATATGTTAAAACACAAATATTTCTGAGCATTTTGGTACCAAAAATTTTGATGAAAAACTAATCATTAGTAAACCGAAACTACTGTACTGAAACCAATATGGCGGTTCTAGCCGCGCCCTCTTTAGTTTCGATTACATTTTATTTTAATATCTATATGCAAAGCCTTTTAACATTTTTTAAAATATTAAATGCTCATTAAGTAAAACTTCTCAACTTTCTTCATATTACGACATATATTCTTGTTTGTTTACTTCGTGAAACAACAAATTTGTTTCTTCGTGCTATTATTCAAAGTTATTTCTCGAATTTCGTCAGTAAAATCATGAGTGAAGGTGAATTTAAACGTGCTTCTGGCAAGAGGCCAAAGAAAAGAAAGTTCCACGGCAATAAATATCTAAAAAAGGAAGTTAATTCCGAAACAATGAAAGTTAGTTTTGTTCAAAAAGAAGAAATGTGTAGTGCCAAAGGTAAGAAGTTACCATCATTTCGCTGCTCTTTAGAAGCAAACCGTACTAAATCATCTAAAGATTTTAATGGCTACAGACTTGTTGACATCAACTTATTTTTTTTCTGCGATTGCTAAAAAAACTGTTTGTTCGAAATGCAATTCGAACATTAAGATTGTTGAAAAATTTCAACTAGGACAGGGATCCACTTTTGACATAGTGTGCTCGAAATGTGATGTAACAACTTCATTTACAAGTTGTGAAATGGTTGGCAATAAAAAAAATGCACATGAAATTAACCGCAGATCAGTTTTTGGCTATGCGGCGCATAGGTCATGGCCTAAATGACCTTCAAACATTTTGTTACTTTATGTCCTTACCATTTCCGATTCAACAAAATCTTATGATGCTATCAATGACAAAATTGCAGAAGTTTCTCAGGAGGTCGCTGAATTAAGCATGAATGAGGCTGCTAAGAGTGAGCAACTTTTAACATCTAGCGAGGATAAGTATACTGTCAGTGGTGACGGCATTTGGAAGTCTCGCTTCTCCGATACGTAGCGGG